GGGGGGGGGGTAAGTAATTTAACCTCCATTGCACCTTAAAACTTGCCTGCTTCTCCAACTAACCTCCCCGTCCCGGTCGTGTTTCCGCAGGCCATGGACAACCTACCGGACATCCCGCTGGCGATGGTCATGCGGTATCTCAGCGTTAGCGACCTCCTCGCCTGCCGCCTCGTCAGCAAGAGGCTCGGCGCCGCGGCCCTGCGCCCGGACGCGTGGGCCCACCACCGGCTGGGCCTCGACCGGCTCCCCGGTTTCGCCAACAAGTGCGTGTGCCCCGTGCTGCGCTTCGCGCCGCGCCTCCACGCGCTGGGCGAGTACCTGACGCCGAGGCCGGCGCCTTGTCGACGGGCCCACTTCCCCGTCCGGTGCGCCGTGGAAGAGCTGGGGGTGTCCGTCTGCGAGGACGCCGCCGCCGCGGTCGACAGCCTCGAGCTCGTCCGCCAGCAGGCCGATCTCGGCCGGCTCAGGAGCCTGACCCTGCGTCTCCACGGCCTGGCTCCCGGGGACACGGCGGTGGAGACGGTGGTGTCGACGCCGGGGCTGGAGTACCTTGACGTCGAGGCCTACTTCATGACGGGCGGTCGGATCACCGAGCTCCCGGCCATGGCCGCGCCCGCGCTGCACACCGTGCGGCACTTCAAATGCAACCTAATCACCCAGACGGAGCCCTTTGTGAACTCCATCCTGGCCGAGCACGCCACAACTATCGAGACGGTCAGCCTCTCGGACGAAAACAGGGGCGCGCTGTCGCTGACCTCCACGGCGCGGCTGCTGGCCGCCATGACCCACCTGCGGGAGCTGGAGTGCGGCGGCCTCCCCGGGCTGCAGGCCCTGGCCGCCTGCGAGTCGCTCCGCGTCCTGCGCCTCACCCTCAGCATCGACGCTCGGCACAAGTGTGTCGCCGAGGATGCCGCCGAGCTGCTCCGGAACGCCGTCCAGCTGCGCGAGCTGACCCTGAGCTTCTGGCCCGCCGCCGTCCGGTACTACTTCGGATTCTGCGGTGGCGCGTTCTGCTTGGCCCTATTTCCTGCTCTGGCCTCGTCCGGCGAGTCCCGCCTGGAGAAGCTGGTCGTCTACAACTCGATCCGATCCCTTTGGAGGCAGTGCGATCAAGCGCAAGCGACGCAGCGGAAGCTCCAGCGAGGCATGCCGCCTCGGGTACGAGAGCCCTCGCCCCTGCTCCAGCCTCTGATGAGTGCGCTGCCCTCGCTGCGGGCCCTGCGCCACCTGAGCACGGACGAGGACCCCG